CTTTCAAAAAACACTTTCAAAAATGCACTTTAGAGGATATTCAAAACCGAAATGCAGAAAACAGTTTTAACTTGTTTGAAGCCAAACCTAACTCATTAAAATTCAAATTGATTCTTTTTATTCCTTTTTTTCATAAAGAGCAATCTAGTTTGAAGAAGCTAATTTGATCATTCTAAAGTTAGCGCTGTTGTATTGTAAGGCTAGTCTTTACTGGTGCTGTGTGTTGGTCTTGAATGTCAGTTTCATGTTGTTTTGATAGGTTCTTGGTGGCTTTGAACATTTATCCACCTAACCAAGCCCTGCTGTCATAACACTTCATACTTCACAGTCACAAGAACAGAGAAGAAATGCTTTTATTTTTATAACAGGATCGAGTGGAAGGCAGCAGCATGAGGAGGAAAACCTAAACATGCATATCATAGCAGATATATGTTATCTATTGTTAAACATCAGAGAAACAGTCCATAGGCTACTAATCATGGTGTCATTACAAACACTAGCTATTGTATATGCTCACTGACAATGTTACTGTATGTAATGTAATAAAGTTACACTATATTATTTGATCTGTTATGAATGCCTAATAAATGTAATATTCTAAATGACATTTTGACTACGTGTTTAACAGTGTAAAATTCGCCACAACGTTTTTATTTTAATAACTAGCAATAAAATGTGTATGTTATGAAATGTCCTCACAATGTTCTCAAAACACGGGAGAGGAAAGCATGTTGAGATTAAGCAATAAATCAAGGGACTAAAATGAGAGCGAGAGAGTGAAAATATTTTTCATGTTTACGTCTTGTTTATTTAGAATCCCTCAGGTGTAACAAATGGGATTTTGTTTCTCTACGCTCCACGCCTGATTGGCTGCCTATATTGTGTAGCATTATGATAAATGAATAATTGATTGGCGAATAGGCCTATATCTCGCTATTGCACTCAGGAAAAATCAAAATGCACTTTGAAAGACATCGGACTTACTGCGCGCTTAATGAGAAAGGAAATTATTTCCCTCTTTGCCTCTTTTCAGACCACCTTTGGTGTCACAAATAAAACAAAATGTTATATATTTCTAAGGCTTCATTATCTTTCGACTGCCAGAGGCCAGGGCCCGTCTTCTCCTGCCATCTAGTGGTCAGACAAGTAAGTGTCTCCTACACTGATACAGACGCGCTGTGCATTCTCGTAAATAGAAGAATCTCTATTTCACTCTATTTCAGGTCACATTTTACCCCTAAAATTAAAATTATGATATATTAATAAATAACACGTTACCAAGGATGACGTCGTTAATTTCTTGCATTTTGTATCATCATGTAATGACAATCAAGCACACACAGTCAAGTAAAATATTAAACAAAACTAATAATAATATAATAATGATGTTTGTTTATTTATTTATTTATTCAGTCAGTCAGTTAGTCAGTCAGTCCAGTAATAAAAATGTTTGTTTATATGTATGTTTTGTTGAATTTGAGCTGAAATGTAATCCTAATAATGTGAGTTAATAACACACAATAATGTGTAGCATTATGAACACAAGCATTATATGACATGGATTTCAGCTAAAAAAGAAAAATGACAACAATTAGAAAATGACGTTAATTTCTCACATTTTATTATTATTTAATGACAATTATGCACACACAATTAAGAAAAACTGGAATAAAAAATGTAAAATACAATATAAATATATAAACAATAATAGTATTATATATAAGATTACATGCACAAAATATATACGCACACACCCTTTAATACTAACAGTTGTTGTTATTATATTAAATATCATCATTCATTTCTTGTAATATTTATACACACACACGCACACACACACACACACACACACACACAATTTAAACCCATTCATACATACACATGTATAAATACATACGCACACCTTTTAACAGTACTAGTAATATTAATAACAAAAATTATTATTATTATCATCATATTTATTATAATTTTTTACCATTTATTTTTACAGTCCAGTAATTAAATGTTTCATTTGTAATATTTTAATTTCTGTGTTTTATTGATTTTGGGCTGAATTTTATTCACATGAATGTAAGTTTTAAAGGAAAAGTTATGCAAAGTTAGTTCAATAATGAGTAGTATTATGAACACAAGCATTACATGACACAAGCTTCAACCAATCCATTTCATCTAAAATTAAAAAAGGACAAAGTTTTTTGTAAGGTAAAAAAAAAAAATCTTTATTTGAACTTGGAATGGTTCACATCCAAACAGTGGGATGGTGTACGATAACATCACAGGGGGGTAAATCCAACCATTCAAACACTCATCTGAGAACAGCATCACTAGACAAAAAGTGTTTAGAGGAGGAAAAAATAACCCAAACGACAGTTTTCACAACCCACTACTACAGACAGACGGCGCCTTTGTCCTGTGGAACATTGTGTCCAGAGAAGGAGAAAGTCTATATTTTCTGTTATCTTAGCATACATACAATAAACACCCACTGTGGCATACGTACAATACACGCCCAATGTAGCATACATTCCCAAAACATACTTCCAGTAACATCACATACAGTCTATTAAGTACAAGGATGCACCAAGTGCCTTAGTAATCGTGCAAGTACCATACAACATCCTATTATCAGACCAACACGGCCTTAAATACTGCAATGCATTAGCTTGGGTAGAAGATTTAACTCAACAGCAAAAGCATACGCTTTTCACAGCACAGCCTTTCGTTCACTGGCAGAGGAGAGATAAACAGAGATGAATGGCACAACCATGACTATGTTAGTATGTTACGGATGGCAGTTTCTGTAAACTTGATAGCATATATAATCAAACTTCGTCTCGTTATGTAAGCGCTACTATACAGTATGTACTAAATGAGCTGTACAACAGATATATGAGAACGTAATGCGCTGACTTTCTCAGCAGAACGAGTAGAAGTCTGATACTCAAGTATGAAATTTCACGAAACTCATGACACTCAAAGGCATGATTACAACATGAGTAAAGACAGTGTATGGTTGTGGATTTCTCGACGGACACTGATTTACGTGATCCTTTGGTCTGATTTCCTTTTGCCTACAATGACACCAAGACAAGATACGCTGTAGAACATGAGAAACAATGAGAAATGTGGTTACATTTGTAACAAACAGCTTCATGTCTGCCAACTGTTTTTATTTTTTTCCTGCCTAGTCTTTGTCAATGAATGATCAATACCAGCACTGACCAACAGAGGGACGTTGTGAGCAGAGAAAGACCATTTAAGGCCACCAGAGGGCAGCATTTATCTTAGCCCTTATGCGTGAAGACAGCTTTATCTGGTAAATCCACACTTGAACAAGGCTTAATAGGTACCGCAAGGGCTCTCAAAACTTTTTTATAAATACATTTCATGCCTTTCATATCATTACTGGATGAGGATTTACTATTATCATTATTATTATTATTAACAATAACATTTTATTGTTATTATTATTATTATTAACTATACACAAGTGTTTATTGTGTATATTTATATGTATATATAAATACACACACATACATGTACACACATCATGTAAATATTTCTTAAATATATAAGTGTGTGTGTTCATACATACATAAAAATATACACAGTACACACATATATATTACGTAAACACAAACTTTTATTGTGTATGCGATTAATCGTGATTTATCGATTTAACAGCCAAATTTTATTTTTAATAAAAAATATTTGTAATTTTACACATTAAATTTTATTTTAATTTAGAATTTTATTTTTAGCCATTTAATTATTTCTGAGTAGAGAAAAACAAGAAAACTCATAGCTGTATTTACTATAGAAATCGACATAATTGACTTTCGAGGCCAGGAAATCCCAATTTTATAATTCCCTGATATTTCCAGGTTTTCTATGAACTTTGGAACCCTTTAGTGCAACTCACAGAAGAATGACCCAAAACGGTCTGTTTTATACACTGAATTATGAATTATGCATTGCGATATTCTGCATGTTTTCTTTACTGTAAATAGATTTAAGCCCTCATCCATCCAGGCTTAATTATGCTGAATTGTCATGGCTGAATTCAAATGAACATCCAGAAATAGATATGTGCCCTAGTAACAGCAAATTAGTCTTTATGCATATGTTAAAATGACGGCTATTGGGAAGTGATACGGTAGGAGATATTAGAAACAAAATTAGAATCCCTTCCTGAGATGAGACTAATCCTCGCAGCTACAGAGCCGGTTTCCCATCGCTCTCTTGTGGCTGAAGGCTAACATATTTTAGGACATTGTGCGTTGTATCTAGGGAAAGGCACTGCTATAATTCTTTGAACAGTGTTGCTTGGTAAAGAAAAGCACGTGCAAGTCGGTCTCCCTCACATGCGGACAACAGGACCATGCTACTACAAAGCTGAGGAATTCAGACAGAAGCTAATTACCAGTCATTGCCAAAATCATCTGTTAAAAGTAATTCAAGATGGCAGCAACAGTACATGGAGTCTCAGAAGAGATTTTCAATTTTTTATGCTCCAAATGCAAGAGTAAATCAGTATGGCACCAACGAGAAATGTAAGACTTAACGCAGACAGATGATGTAACAGCTCAAGCATGACATCAAATGTAGTAACAGTAACAGTACTGTTTTCTCAGGAGAACTGTTTTTAAGTAATTCATTTTTTCCCCTACACAAGCTTTCACATACTGCCATTCTGATTGGATGGTGTGAAGTGGCATATCCTAAGCCAAACTGCAAAAGTAAAATCAGTGAAGAAGATGAGATTAAAGCTTTGGGCTCAGTGTGTTTAAGTGGATATCTAGGTCAGTCGGGCAAATTTGTGTACACGACTGGGTATTCCCTCTTCAAGCACAGCTCAGGGAGGAGGGGCAACACTGAAGATGAACTGGAGATGATATGACAGATTGGGGGCAGTGGAGTTTCTCTTGGAGGGGTTCTAGCGGCGGAAACGTTTCTCGTATTTTGAAGAAGAAAATTAGTAATTTTAGGATTTTTTTTTTTATTATTGTATATACTGTATATATATTGTATTATGTTATTATCGTGTAGGCCATTGAATATTTAGATCGGGAGGAGGGATCTGTACCTCACCAGAGGTATTATTGTATATACTGTATATATATTGTATTATGTTATTATCGTGTAGGCCATTTAATATTTAGATCGGGAGGAGGGATCTGTACCTCACCAGAGACCAGAGAAAATGTATCTGGGAATACGGTGTACTTTGCATAGTACATTTGACATACACAAGTTTTTGGGTGAATCTCACAAAAATATGTCCAGATCGTCATAAAATCAAAAGAACAAAAATATGAAAATATATTTTGCATAAGAAAATGAGTCCTGTTTTTAGAATTTGCGGGTACATTTGGTGCGATTCACCCTTTTACTTGGGTTGCCCGTGTGTCATCTGGCTATTTTAGTAAGTATTAATATTCATATAATCAGTTGACATAGTATATATGGGATACATGTCCAAAGCAGGACTATTTGAAATAGGTAAATTATGGACACTTGCAACAACATGGAGCTCACTGGAATGCCTTAAAGCCATGCAATTTTATAAGAATGAAGCATTTACATGTGTAAATTAGGCATGATGATCTGCTTTTTGTATTAGGAAGCTGACGTGATCCAAAAAACACAGAGAAGAAAAAAGTAGAGCACGCCTCAAACTAATATCAATATTAATGGCTCAGCCTATTGATTCGTTATTTGTTTGCTTCTTGGTTGTAAATGTTTTTGATAAAAGCTGTTCTATTCTCCCTGCCTGTTCTGTCCTCGGCTGTACAAGATTGACACTTAAAAAAAAGAATCTACCCAAAATTTATATACAAGTAAAACTACATTTTACCACAGGTGTCTTACAATTAGTTGGTATATTGGTTTTCTGCATCTCATATATGTTTAGCGCTTGGCTATGTTGTTACTTAGATGTATATCGCTTATTCTACAAACGAAAGGCATTATAAGTTCAAGTACAATATATCTCTATTTACAACAGCTCAAAGGTAGCTGGCCGTGTTAGACAGTCTTTGAGTGACCGTTTGGTTCTATTATTATGTACAGTCCAGTTCTGGAGGGCAGGACTTATCACTTATTTTAGAACAGTCCTCCAATGAGAGTTTATTCACTCCTGAATAACAGAACTCTTCTGGCCAACCAGTGCAGAGAGAAACAAATGCAAAGCACTCGTTTAATCTTGCTCTAAATAAAGTTCACATAAAAATGTGGCCAAAAAGGACAACTTGATATTAATTCTGAGGTAAAATTAATGATAATAATAAAAAAGAGGAATTTATCATATATATTTTTAAACCTTCTTTTTATCATAGCATGAAATTCACCATGGAATTGTCTTTTTTCCTTTCAAATTATTATTTTTTTCACAAAGAGGATGGGAAGAATGGACTGGAATGGGAAAATCACCTGAGCCAGACTCAACTCACATCATCCGCAACCAGGTTTGACATGTCAGACCACTAGGCCACAGCTCCGACCCATGTGCATTTCAACAACTCTCAAAGGCTCAAATAATAAATTCAAAAAGAAATGAGAAGCACTCCTGAACTTCCTTCCTGGTATGAGCACCAGCGCAGGTAGCTACACCACACCACGGGTCTGCTGCTGCTGCTACATGGTCCCAGGTTTCTCACCAGAGTTGGCAGAGGAAGCTGCAGCATTGCTCGCGTTATTTGGAAAGATCTTCTCTGTGGGGGTCACAGCAGGGCTTCCCACCCCAGAGGAGCTGGAGCTGCTGGAGCGGTGCTGAGTGGGTGGGGGTCGCACGGGTCTCATAGGTGGAGGTCTGAGCTGGGCTCCGGCCAATCTGGCCGACAAAGCCGGTTTAAAGGTGGTCATCATCTCGGAGGTGGAGCTGCTGCTGCGTCTCAGGGCTGCATCCGGATCTCGGATCATGATGGTGTGTAAGGGGCTCGCTGGCTCTGAGCTAACAGGCTTCTTGAGCGGTTCTAAAGTGTCCAGAACAACGTCAGGAGCTTGTTTGGCTGTGTTTTGGCGTTCCAATTCACGGAGCTCATGAAGTGCCGTGTTCATTGTCTTCTCAATATCCTGTAACAAAAAATATTGTTAACTTTTTACATTTTTTTTGTTTGTTTGTTTGTTCCAGTCATAGATTTTTACATTTAATGAAAATTCTTTAAAATCAAATTAATGGCAAAATATTGTAATTTTTCATTTTATTCTATAATGGCATTGAATTGTACTCAATAAAAATAGCATTTAATATTAAACCAAATGTTCAAGCATTCATAACCTAGTTTACGTTTTTGTCAACAGTATATTTTTTTTTACAATTTTTGACAAAATATAGAATAAATTTCGATATTTTTCATTTCAGTCTAAGATAGTATTGAATTTTAGTCAACACAACATAACATTTGAAATTAAACCAAATGTTCAAGCATTTTAGTCATAAACTAGCTTATTAATGCCATTTTTGAATAAAATTAATATTTAAATTCAGTCAATATTTTGTAATTAATTTCTTTTTCAGCAACTTTAATTAAAACATTTTTGATGAGAAAATAATATTTAAAATAAAATCAAATGTTCATGCATTTTATTCATAACCTAGTTTGCGTTTTTGACAACAGTGTGTTTTAATTAAAATTGCTAAAAAAATACATTTGACAAAATATTAACTGAATTCAGTCATTTTTGTCTTATTTTGATGAGATAAATTTAACAAAGATTTATATACATCATTAAAAGAAATACTGTTTTTTAGTCATGTTGTTGAAAATAGCTCTCTGTACTTCATTTGTCTTAACTTGTTAAGAATGTCTAATATTGCAAAGTCAAGCAAGATGTGTTTAAATCCTCTAGCACCGCTAATAACGATGACGCGAGAAATGATCGATAACTTCAATTTGTCGTATTTACAGAGGTATATGGCCTTAGAAATCTCTCATCTTTCCTGGAAATTCATCTTACTTTCTTCCGAAGCGGTCTAGTATATCACGGAGGCAGATTATGTTTGATATACACACAGTGTCGCTGCCGTCCTGATAATGATGACTATAAACTCACTGCTTTCCAGTTCCCTTTCAAGACTGTCCTCTGTCTTGCCATTCATGTTAATCAGATCATGCAGTCTGTGCTTATAATGCATTATCAATATACAAAACAACACCAATATCAATATCAACAATATCAATCATGCCTTCATTTTGATGTTTGTATTCACATAAGCCATTTTCTTTTCACTAGGTGAGTGTAGACACAAAGGGGCCATTACAAAAGATCATTAACTGTTCCATGTGTCAGACTTCATTATTTAACCGTGCACAAATGAAACACATGGATCAGTGCCAGCCTATCCTGTTCATGTTGATATCTGCTTTAATGCCAGCTCTTTGTTTCTGCTGAACTAAATCTTGCCAGCTTCTTCAGCCTCACAGAATTCTAGGCTAATTGCAAGGCTCAAGAGAAAGACCAAAAAGCTTTCATGACTACAACTTAAAAGTAGTTTTGAATCCTTCTGAGCTTTGATCTATAAGGGTACAAAATATAAGAAGATTAATGGTACACTTACTGAGAATATTTGAATGTTTGATCTCAGCAATAGCAAATTATGTTTTATAAAAATCATTTATTTAAATCAGGGTGATTTAATTACATTATGATAATTCATCTAAATATATTTTATGATTTTTTGAATAATTACTGGTGCTTGCATATTATTTTTCTTCCCAAAATTTTGCAGTGTAAACCTTGACTTGTATGATTCCTCAAATAGCAATTGAGGAAAGGTGCTATTATTTTTATATGCAACTGAAAGCACTGTTTACACCCAATTTCGTTTTCACAAATGTTTTAACACAATTTTCAGTAAGTAAAATAAGAAAATAATGAAAAAAAAAAGTTTCCAAATACTTTGTTTTTAAATACCTATTTTATCATTTGAAACAAAAAAAAAATTAATAAAAATGTCACTGATTGCATATTTTATTATACAATGCAGAGACATTAATACATTAAAAATATTAATATTGTGAAATATTACAATTTAAAATAATTTTCTATTTTCAAAATGTATTTGGAAAAGCTGACTATTCAGCAGCCACTGCTCTAACCGTTATTCTAATATGCTGATTTGCTCAAGAAACATTTCTTATTATCAATGTTGAAAACAGTTGATGCATCAAGTTCAGCATCTGAAAACTGCATAATATTTTCGTGGAAACCATGATACTTTTTTGAGGGGATTCTTTTACTGTAGGAATAGAAAGTTCAAAAGAACAGCATTTATTTGAAATGGAAATCTTTTCTAAAATTATAAATGTCTTTACTGCCACTTTTGATCAATTTAATGCATTGTTTTTGAATAAAAGTTTTTTTTTCTTTATATGAAGCTGCACAACTTTTTCAACATTGATATTTAAAAGAAATGATTCTTGAGCACCAAATCAGCATATTAGAATGATTTCTGAAGGATCATGTGACACTGAAGACTGGAGTAATGATGCTGAAAATTCTGCTTTGCCAACACAGAAACAAACTTGGGGCCTTGGTCAATATATAAGAGACTTCTTTCAAAAACATAAAAAATTCTTAATTCAAACGTTTGACCTCCAGTGTATATATACACACACACAACACCGTGAAATTTATTGAGAATCTAAAAACATGCACACACATAAACATACACACCCACCTCTGCTAAAGCCTCAGCCTCCAAGGACTTGTGGTCTCCTAGGCTGCTGTGTCTTGTTGCTCCTGGTACAGGCCTGAGTGGGTGACCCTCAGGATAGACCTTTCTCTCAGGGTAGTTAATGCTGCCTGCACTGCCAAAGGTTCCCAAACGCCTCTTTTCAGGACTCTCTATGTGGCCCCTACTGACCATCACCTTGTGGGGGCTGCTGGGACAGGCAGCGGCCCGTGGCGGTGTGTCTCGGGGAGGACTGTGAGAGTCAGTGCCACTGCGGCGCCGAGGAATGGCAGACCCGTCCGAACGCAACCTAACCCTGCATAAACACACAATGAGATGGCAAAAAAACTTAAATCCAGACCTTCACCATTGTTTTTATCTCAAAGCAGACTGCAAATAAGAGTAAAGAAAATTTTGTTAAATATTCGTGTCACAAACAAGCCGAACAAGAGCAAGTAAATAAGCTGCAAGGAGAAACAGGACAAGATTACACACTTTAATTCAGATCATAATTTTTTCCTGAGGACAAAAATATGTGAAATAAATACAAGCAGAATCCTGAATAATCAGCCACTGACCGGCCCATGACCCCGCCAAAATTGTAATCAGGTGAAGGTTCACATGGGGACTGCAGATCGTTTTTAGATGAGGCTTTATCGTCCAGTAAAGGTCCACTGCTGGCCTCGCTGTCAGCCTTCTGACTCAGACTATCAGAGAACGCATCATCCCTAAAGAGACAGATACAAAAATCCTTCCGGTTACTCTGTAAGATCTGTAGCAGCCACTACTCCAGTCTTCAGTGTCACATGATTTCTGTCATCTTTCAGAAATTATTCTAATATGCCGATTTTGTGCTCAGCACCATGCTACTTTTTTTCAGGATTCTTTGATGAATAGAAAGTTCATGAGAACAGCATTTATATAAAACACTGTGTTTTTGTAACACTGTAGAAGTCTTTACTGTCACTTTTGATTAATTTCATGTGTCCTTGCTAAATTAAAAAATAAAAAACAGCTAAAGTGTCACACACATCAAAAAATCCATGTATATAAAGCTGGCAATGTAAGAAACCTCTAGTTTCTTATTTTTCAGTCCCAGCAGCCCCTGCATCATTCTCACTTCACGTCTCATTCCCAGAGCCCTGAGCAAGTAAACATCCACTGATCACAGTTTCACAGCATGTTCTCGGGCTGCTTTTACAGTTCTCATGGGAGACGATAGCAGAAGGTGTTTGGTAATCTGAAGCTGTTGAACGTCACATTCAAGGGAAAAAAAGTCTCTGAAAAAGTCTACAGCCCAAATGTTTCATTATGCAATCTTTCAGCAATTAATTTTGTGCCTTTTGAGTGCCTTTTAAACACACTACATGGACTGAAGTATGTGCTTGTTGGACCTTAATTTCAAAACCACTGCCATTAACAGGAAGCTGATCCTCTCTAACAGCTTCTATCCTTCTGGTATGGCTTTCCACTAGATGTTTGAACATGGATTCAGAAATTTGCTACTATTGAAACATGCAGTTTGCAACCCACATAATCTCAAACTTTAAGTACCTTTCACTTTTAAAGTAGATAAATCACTGGATTATTAAAAAATAGACATTTTTATATGGTTATGTCATACATAAAGCAATTGGTGGTGGAATTTACAACACAAATAACTATTGTGATACAAGATTTTGGTCATTCTGCCCACCTCTACTGTAGAGTAACCGGCGACCTGTAGTCTCTTTTCATTTAATTCTAATCTCAAGAATTAATCTAAAATTTCCTTATTTGCTGCTGTCAAATCTTGCAATATTAGGAATGGGGCTTGGACTGACCCTTTTAATAATCTCATTCATCAAACTGACACCGGTTAGACCATACAAAGAGATAATGAGCATGTCATCATTTTAGTAATTACTGAAACAGCAGTAAGCAGTTAATAACAGCTGATGATATAAATATGGTCAACTCAAGGACGCTGCACTTTCATGTTATCTCAAGACCTTATAAAGCGGTAACATAGGAGCAGAAAGCCCCTGAACACTTGATCGGCTTACTTTCACTTTAACCTCAGTGATGTGAAGTGAAGTACGTCATGTCCCACTGCACCCAACGAGCTTTGACATAAATGCATTCCTAGCACATTAAGGCACCACTAATGCTTGGTGCTTCAGAAACACAATTAGACTCAGTGTAAGAGAGGTTCCCTGCCAAAGACATAAGGGCATTCTTTAACTGCCACTCAGTGCTGTTAAATTTTAATTAAAGTCTAAAGTGTTAATGGAGGGAACTATTTGATTCTCACTTGAGCCATTACGGTATGAACTCAGGCCAGATGGCCTGGTTGATTAGTCATATATTACCCAGAGGGCAACACTTTCACAAAGCAACATGTATTGAACTGTTCTGTAACTAGTGCCAGGACTATATAAAAATAATTAAATGAAAAATTATTTAATTTAGATACTCACAAGTCTTGTACTACTATGTACTGGTGAGGTATGAGGCCGTCAACCCCATTGTGTCGGCCCTCCCACCAATCCTCAGATGCGCGATGATACAGCAAAAGGGATGCGCCTTTTTTGAAGGACAGCTCGCGAGGAGTCCGACCCATGTAATCAAATTTTGCAATGGCTTCAATCTGCTCCACCTCTGTGCGTGTGAGAGAGAGAGAGGAACGGGGAAAGTAGCACTCATTAACATGTTTGCACAGAGAATTATGTCAACAAATTTTCAGAGAGCTTCAAAGCACTGCAACAGACTCAAAATCTGTCATGATCCCAGCTGGTTCTCAGCAAAAACACACAGTCACACCGTGTCTTGGCCAGGCGTGATATGACAAGTTTCCAGTGACAAGCAATTTGTCTGTCCAGAATAAACGCAAAACTGCTGCATGACACTGAACTTATTAGATGTTAAATAAACAGTTACGTGAGGTAAGATTTTGGAGCAATGATATTTCACAGTGGGTGAATTGGACTGCAGAAACAGAAACCATTAGATTTTATACACAAAAAAATATTGCAAAGTCCATAGATTGTCGTAATTCTCTGAAAACAATAAAGCGAAGCAAAGCCAAAACCAAACAAAAAACAAATCAACAATGCAAAATGTCATCATGTCATGTCAAAGATACTGAAAAGTCCATAGATGAATTGTTGTAATTCACAAAACAAAACAAAAAGCAAGCTAAATAAAAACAAAACAAAACATAAAGCAAGCCAAACAAAAACAAAACAAAAGCAAGCCAAACAAAAAACAAAATAAAAGTAAGCTAAACAAAAACAAAGCAAAACAAAATAAAACAAAACAACAGCAAAAAATAACAACATAGTCTTTGAACAAAAAATACATGGATCAGTGCAATGCAATATTTCAGACTTGCTTCTGTATGGAAGAAACACACTGCATTCAGTGTGATCAAGTGTACTTACATGGTTCATTTATTCTTAGGGACAGATGTCACTGATCAGTCTGTTCAACAAGCAGTGTGCACAGCAAAAGCTTGTATGTGCATTTAGTTGTCAAATAGATACTGTATTCAATATCTTACAGACTCGCATTCATCACGTTAAGGTCTTACACATCAGGATATGATCTCATCTTTTACCCCATCAGGACCACAAAGAAACAGGCACATTTCTAATACAGATGGGCTGCTAAAATGCAAAGTGGACTTTATCTAAATCCTATCAAATCTGCCACCCAGCTGCCAGGGGCAAACAGACAGTGGGGTCATTCAGGGTTAAGGAGATATACAGAGCAAATCAGTACTTGGCAGGAAATCTCCAAGTCAACTAAAAGAAACCAATCAGTTTCATTAGGGTCTCCACCCAGGGGTGAAATTAAATACAGGCATGGAACAGAAGTGGAAGGAAAGAGGAAGAACGGAAATGAAGAGAGAGAGAAAATCAGCTTTTGCAATTCTGTATGTTGTTTGATTTTTTTCCATTGTGACTGCACCTGATTGGCTGGATTGAAGGTTAAGAATCTGATTGCGATTTCTCAGCATGTGCCGAAGGTAACGGGAAGTTGCGATAGCGCTGTTATAGCATGTGACTTCAAACAGTCCTGAAGTCATGCATATGGCAGGCTTTGGCTGATGAGCTCCTGAGAGAAGGCTGATTCCAGATCAGAGCACCACACAGATCAAAACAGAATGTCAGTGTGGATCACTAACATATACATCAGCATACACAGCATGTGATTCAGCCAGTAACATGTTTAAAGAGGTTTATAGGAAGAGCTACCTCTAAAAACATGATTACTTTGAATGTTTTATTACGGCTCAACAAAAAAAAATTCCCATCACCAATAAAAATAATTTTGGCTATTTTGGAATAGAATAATGCTATACTGTTTTTTTGGTTAGTATACACTTAATACAGCTTAGTATTTAAAAACAAATTATGCATTATGTAATATGTGGCAATGTTGTCACATTATTAAAGGGATAGTCCGCTCATAGTCCAAAAATTCTGTCATAATTTACTCATCCTCATATCTTTCTAAACCTGTATTTCTTCCTTCTGCACTGCAAAACATTTTCTGTATAATGTTGGTAACCAAACAGGTTCCCATTGACTTCCATTGTGTGGACAAAAAAATACAATGGAAGTTAAGAGGAACTGAAACAATTTGATTACCAACATTCTTCAAAATATCTTCTTTCATATTCCACAAAAGAAAGCAAGTCAAATGGTTTTGGAATGACATGAGGGTGAGTAAATTATGACAACGTTTATTTTTGGGTGAACTATCCCTTTAAGTTTGTCACATGGACTCATTGCATGCATATTTAATTTCATAAGAGGCATCAGTTATAATTGCTTTCAGAAATATATTTTACACATATATATATATATATATATAGCAGATAAAATATCAAAAGATCATGTAAAGCACACTGCATTTTAGGATCCATCATTCTTCAAAGTGTACTCTGTTATCTACTACACATTTTAGTATTATGTGTAGTACTTATTATAGACAGTACATATTGTATACAGCAGAAATATTAAAAGTAGTAGTATAGCAGTATGCATTTCCAACCATAATACATAATCTCGACAGTAGATTACATTTTTTTCTGGCTTATTTGTCTTTGTAAAGGTCTGAAATGACAGCATTGGCCTCTCTGCTGCCCCCACCAGCTCTGGAGCACCACTGACATTTATGTGACGTTACCACAGGTTGACTAAAGTGCGACATAATGTTGTCTGGAAAGTGTGAGACCTAGAGGAATTATCCTGAAGTATGCATTTACAATGCAAGACATGACTGGCCATACAATCTCAACATGGTGGCCATCTTGAGGGGGCAACCTGCGGGATAAAACAGCCGTTTAGATTCCACCTTATACAATGTGGAATTTAGCTACTCCTGTGAATGTACTAGACTTCCGATTCAATAGCTGCTATAGGTAAATAGCTAGAAGAATAAGAAAGTGCAGTAAATGGTCAAATGTTTTGTTCTACAAACCAGTGTGTTTATGATTAGGATAATAATTGAGGATAATAAATTAAAATAATGAGATAACAAAAATCTGTTTGCAATATCAAGTAGAACAACAGGTTTTTTTATACATCTAAAATGAATATCAGTAGCTAACACCAGAAGCACTGAACATTCAAACTAAAAACTGGAGCGTCCGTTCTTAATTAAAAAATAAGGTACAGCCTGCTACAGTAGGTCTAAATGTTTACCAATTTAAAGATTTGTAAAAAGTCCTGCAGCATTCATTTTGTGTAAAACTTTAAATGGAAAAATAACGAGTGCACCTTTACATATAGAAAAGCAAACTATAATCTATTTTAGTGTTAAAAAAAGACCCACTCTTAACCCATTAGTTGAGAGCAGAACCGTTTCAGTGAAACTGGAAAAACTGACTTCTTGAATGAGCAGGGGGCTGTATGCGAGATGGTATCAGCGATGTGGCTGGTGTTTGGGGTTAGTGAGCGAGTGCAGCTCCATCAATCACTAAATGAAGGGAGCGAGCGCAGGAAGCCCCGTGAGACCTGTTTACTCACCCTGAACAAAGACCGTGCAAGAGAGAGGGAGAGGAGGAAAACAAAGTGATAAAAGGCAAAGGAGGAGGCAATTAAGCAGAGAAAACCAAGGGCTGGAAGAGAGATGAAGCACAAAGATGGCTGAAACTGGGCCAAAAGAGATATTTCCGTCTGTGTCTTCATTTAATATAGCAACGGAAATATCGCTAGACAATGCTATCATTTACATGTGAGAAATGAAGGGGGTGAAGGGGGAGAGAGGAAGGGAGTGAAGAAAAAAGCAGAGAGAATGACATTTTTAAGACCTGGAACCTCATATAACAGTTTATGAATCTGTGCTGCCAGGTTTCAATTTGAGATCATCTTTTTTATCTCCTCATAGCTTACCAGCCAATAAGGATGCACACTGCTGAAAGAGCACCACTCTGATTGGCTGATTTAAATGTCAATGATAACATCCAACAAACAACACAACATGGTGTGTATGAAGCATTTCTTTCAATATATAAACCTTCTTAAAAAAATAAATTCAATTTGCCTCAATTATATATATATATACAAATACACAACAAACACTGAATGATTTTTTGCAGCACAGTCAAAGTCACATATTGGCTGTGGTTGTATGAATAATATTGTTTTGTTTCGATTAAACTGAATATGACCCAGATGTTTCAATGCCAGCTTTGACATCTGATGTCAATTATGTGGTTGACATCCATGTGCACACACATATACACACACAAGCCCGAAAGGTCATCCAGAGCACAACACAGCAATGCTAATCAGCACATCATCTTCAAAATACATAAGGCAAAACAATTTTTCTTTTTCTTTAGGAAGCAATATGTGGTCATTTTGATTCCTCTCAACCCCAAAGGCTAACATAAACATCCGACTGTACTTCTATTGGTTAAGTAAACTAAAAACCTCAAATGCTGATTTTTGCTTCTGGTTATTTGTCTCTTTTTCAATACAATACATCATCTTGCCATAAGAGACAATGATAAGAATGATAAGAGTGTACATAAAGCATTGAATGAATGCATAAATGCCTGTACCATCATCGCTCGTGTGTGGTTCGGTGCAGTTGTCCGCTTCATCAATGGTGCCTGGTTCACTGTGAGGGCTGTCACTGTGTGAATATACACACATAAACAAACACAAAGAGAAAGAGTTGTTTAAAAGCACAGTAAACACAATAACTGTACACATGATAATGCCAGCATTGGAAAAAACATGACAATTACAGTTCTGCAATGTCCCGCAAACAGTAATCAATTCTGATAGTATCAATATTAGAGACTCATGAAACATAAAGCATTGAAAGCATTGTGGATAAAAAAAAAATATATTTAATGGGAATTTAAAGCAATATGCCACAAGAGACTGTGTTACACATTGATTTTACCATGGTTAAGAGTCATTACGCAGAAGTCATAGCAAAGAGTAAGAACAGGGTAAAAAAAAACAGCATTAGGAGTCTTGCTTTTAAAACAGCATGTTTGATAAATACATTCAAAAGTCTGGAGTCAGTAGGTTTTTTTTAAAGAAAATAATACTTTTATTTAGCTAGGATGCATTGATTCTACTTTTATTTCAAATAAATACTGTTCTTTTGAATTTTCTATTTGTCTAAGAAAAGCATCATAGTTTCCACCAATATTAAGCAGAAAAACGGTTTTCAGCATTTATAATAATAATGTTTTTGTGAGCACCAAATCAACATATTAGAATGATTTCTGAAGGATCATGTGACAATGAAGACTGGAGCAATGGCCGCTGAAAACTCAGTTTTGCCATTACATGGAATAAATGAAAATTTTTAATATATATGAAAACAGAAAACAGTTATTTTAAACTGTAATAATATTTCACAGTTTGAGTTTAAGTTCACAGTTTTATTTCACAGCTGAGATTTAACCATTTTTACTGTATTTCTATCAAATAAATGCAGCTTTAGTGAGCATAATCTAATTCATCAGATTCATTTGATTCATCAGAATCTAATTTCTAAAAAAAATCTTACTGGCCCCAAACTTTTCAACGGTACTGTGTTTACATTTATTACTAATAATAACCAAAGCAAACCATTTCCACCAAGTGCCTAGGAATAACAAGTAATCTATGGTATATTAATATGGTAATCTTTTAGAACAACAGTATATATCAAAGAACCATGTGGTATTTCCTTCTGATACCAACACTGTATCATGGATCTTTTTTATAAGTAGAAATACTGCTTTTAGCAATAGGTTACAAAAGTATGCCTCAAGTACTCCACTTTATATGACCCGAGTGTGAAACTCCCCATTCATAGTAGAGAGCTCAGTTTAAGCCACGGCTGGCTCTAATGGAGGAATTATGACATTCCTTAGTAACAACAAAATCCAGCTAAAGTCTAGAGCTCACCAGTACTCCTCTCCTCCAGTCATGCATTTCTCATAGACAGGACCGTCCAGCTCACGCAGGCTGGGGAAGATGACCTCGTGGTGGATGATGATGGTCTTGATGACCTCATTAACATGAGCCTGGCAGGCCACAGGGTCCTGGGCATCCGGGATGGGCATCAGAGTGGGTCCAAAACAGATGGCAAGGTTATATGGGTCCATCATGTTCTCATCACTGTACTGGGACAGACTAGGATGAAGAGACAGAGATAGTAAAAAAAAGTTTACGTTCTTAAAGGTGATGTAATCCTGCAGGAATTACAATTTATCAAAAACTTTCACTCTTACTCCTGCTGTCTATTTCAATATACTAATTCATAACTTTGTCCAAGAGAATTCATCTTCATGTACAGTGCATTATCTTTCAGCTCATCTCTCATTGGGAAGTCTCTTGACTGCAGAAGTGAAGTTCAAATGAGTCAGAGCTGCGAGCACCGAGAGCAAATGAAAGGGGGAAGGAAGTCAGAGGGAAAACTCATGATGTGAAATCAAATTCTTTGTTCGGTCTGGGGGAGGGCGAGAACAGGA